AAAAAAAAAAAAAAAAAAAAACAGGCCCTCCCTTAGTTCGGGCAGAGGGAACAAGTGGATGGCGCACCGGACAAGCATCATCTGGCACAAAGCTGGATGGGTTTCTCAGCAGCGGGCGTTGAAAACCCAAACCTTCGCGTGTCAATGCGTCCGAGATGCATGAACAAAAAAAGGCTGCGTCATGCTTCGGCCATGACCCCGGAAACTGCATGATGAACGCACCGCTTGCAGCTATGGTGCAGCACCACTTTCGTCCGATAGCAGTACCTGCCACGCGCCGACACAGAGAGCCATGGCGACGGCCAGAGACGCCAGGCATAAAGTCCCCATCAAACGATCAAACACCCCTCTTGGACGATTGCAACTGCCGGCAACTGCACTAACTGCGGCCCGCACTTTGGACAGCTGCTGGCTGTCAACGGTGATCGCAGCCACTCGCCCCTGCGAGTCAGAATCACAAAAAGCAGCCCCACAGAGGCAGATGCTTGCCGCCTCGAACTTGGGGCAGTCGATGTGCTTCACTTCGGCTTTGTCGAGGTTCACATATCCCCACTCCATCCCGGCTCGGAAGATCACTTGTGAATGGAAGGAGTGCAGGCCTTCCACACCCGGACCCTCCATGACGGTTGCATCAACCTGGTTCTTCAAGGTCCCATTCTTTGCGAAGACACTAATTCGCCCCATGGAGTCACCTGCAATGATCTCCCGGCTGCTTTTGTGGTTGGAAATGGCCAGCGCGCTCAAGCTTCCATCTCTCCCATCTCCTGGGAGTTGGAGCTGGCGCTGCAGCTGACTTGTGACGTTCAGCTGGGGACCTAAATATTGCGACAACTTCTCATCAGAAGAATTCGCTCGCGTGGCTCGCTCCTCCTTGCTGACTCGCCTTTGCCGCACTGAGATTCTGTGGACCCGAATGGAGCCACTGGCATCTCCTGTTGCTAGCAAGTGCTCCTCGTGGGTCGGAGAGGTCGCGATGTGCGTTATTGGCGCCTCGTGGCCTGCCTCAAAGCTCAAGAGAAGCTCCCCAGTTGGGCTGAAGAGCCGAACAGTTCCCTCTGCATGGACTGCAGCTAATATACATGTCGGCGTCTGTGACTGCGGCGACGAGGATGGGGAGGAGGATGTTGAAGGCCGTGGGTTGCGGAGCAGCAGCCACTCGATGTGAGCAACCGGCTCGGCCATCGGTAGAACCGTTTTGGTGACAAGAAAATCTTCTGCAGCAGCAATCGGCGCTCTGTCGCCCTGGCCTGCGATCTCGGATAGCAAAGGCAAGCCTTCGGTCAACGCTTGCATCTGCGCTGCAGAGAGTGGTAGCCCCTGGCCAGCTGTTGCAGCTCCTGCACCAGGACGGGGTTCTACAGCCCAGATCCGAGGGCAAGTCCGCATCTATCCTCTGTCACTACAACCGTCATGTGCTCGAAGGAGCTCCTTGGAGTTCTTTTAGAAAAGTCATGCGCTCGTCGCCCATCTTCAACAGTGTCTTGAGCTCCTCCATTTCCTGCAGGACGCGCTTTGAATGAGCTGCTGCGGCTCTCGGTGGCAAAGGCCAGGCATGACGTTCGGGAACATCCCCCCTTCCCTTCCGCCTGCGTAATGAGGTCAGACTGAGGAGAAGACGGCATTGGTGCTGAAGTCGTGGCTGCCTTTCAGAGGCCGCAGGTCAGACAAACATATGAAAATTACCTTCGTCAGGCACCTTCGGCGTTGGAGCCCTTGATGGCGGAGTTTCTGGCTCTGGCCCTCTGCAGGTGGCACCTGTCATGCAATCTTTTCCGTTAACGAGAAGGTCCGTCCCCTTTGATATCAGCACCGGCGCAAAGCGCTTCGTTACACGATGCCGACAAGCCCCGTGCCTTCAGGGCCTGCCGGACAGCTGTCCTCCAAAGTTGTCAGCAGACAAGCCCACCCCAAGCTGCGATTGCCAATACGACCACAGCCGACTATGTCAACACACTCCCTCCTGAGCCAAAGCCATAGATGCACAAAGCATCCGGAGGAGGAAGCATCTCGCCTGCCCCCTCCTTGCAGCTCAAGGCTATCTGTTCAGCTTTTGGGTGCCCTACACGCCTGCACAGGATCAATCACTACGGCCCAGGCCTCATGCCCAGCGCATCCACCATGCGCACAAGCGCGGATCCCAGTCGATTTGTCCGCAGGTCTGCTTCGAGCCGAGATGCAATCCATGCACCCTTTCCTGCAAGACCCTCCATGCTCCACAAACCCATACAGCCCATACAGCAGTCTTCTGCGACTTGGGTTCTGCTGTGCGGCTAAGGTTTTTTGACTTCCCGATCTCCCACAAATTCTCCCCATGACTCGCGCAACCCCCCCACATCCGGCCTGATCGAAGATGGAGAATTTTAGCTTATCCCCTTGACCCAGCTGCATCTTTGCAGCTTGGTTCCAGACCTCACAGAAACTGCATCAGACGTCTTTGTCTGCAACGAAACACGATGCTTCAACGAGGTGACTCGGTCTGCAAACAAATCGAGAACTGCACAGGATTCTCCTTATTCTTCACCGTTTTTGTCTTGAATTTGGACTTCACCTAGGCCAGGCATGCAATCCAGCGCGCAAAACATCGCAGAACTCACAAAACCGCAGAACTCGGCGCCTTCCCGATGGACTCGCAGAGGCAGTAGGGATCGGAGGTGCCCTCCAGCCAGTCTGCGTCCCGCAGACCCCGAGCAGAGACACATTTCACCTGTCAGACAAAGACGAGTCGACCACAGGTCGTCGCTGAAGTCCTCTCACCTCTCGCGGCCCCAGCCCCAGCCTCGAACTCGTAGCGATTCTCCTCTGGCTTTGGCTTGGGAGGTTCATCGGCCCTGCGAGGATGAAACCCAAAAAGGACACAGCGGCACTTCTCCGGCTCTACATTTGGGAGATTCTCCCTTCTGGAGAGCACTGCTGACAAGGTGCTGAGCGTTCGCCTCTTTGGGGGAATCGACCTTCGGACTTGAGGCTGCAGTGAGGCGTTTTGTTGCTTTTTACAGATTAGAGCTGCCTTTAGCTGTTGGGAATCTTCTGGTTTCGCTTCCTGCTTCGCATCTGCAGCCTTCACGTCCTGCAGTCATGCAATTGCTGGCATGGAGGGCTAAACTGAAAGCACTCAGATAAACTTACACACTCAAGCCGCGGCGATGAAACCTTGTGTCGTCGCTCGGCACTACACGCTACGCGGTTCGCCCACTTGGGGTTCCTCAGGGTGTGCCTCGAGACTAAAAGGGAAAGAAGATATCGTTTAGGTAGCATAAAAACGCAACACTCCAGACCAATCGTAGCGCATAGGTTGCAAAAAAACTGTGCATAGCTTGTTAACAAAATCCTTTGCTCCTCCTCCAGGTCTGGCTTTGTGGGCGTCTTCGGCGCCGCAGCCTTCTTCCTTGAGACATCCAGATGCAACAAATCGCTGTCAGGCCTTGACACAGCCAATAAAGCAAACGCCAAACGGAGAGGCTCGGCGTCCTGATGCCTGTCTATTGGTACGGGCCAGGCAGAAGACAAGGTGAGTTTCCAGCAGCGAGAAACTGATTCACGAGAACGGAGGGCTTGCCCACCAAGAGTCGAGGACACCTTCTTCTTCGCTTTCGCTTCGGCCTCCTGGTGATTCCAACCAGTGCAGCAGGTTCCGCGGGTGCCCCAGCTACTCGCGTTTGCCCGAGTTCTGCGATCGGAACACGGTCTTTTTACGCGCACTCCTTGGCCTTCTTCGCCTCTTCCTGACGAGTTGGGAGATGGGTCCAAACTCGAATCGTCGTTCACCCAGCACGGCCTCCGCAGCCTTTCGCTGTGCTTCTTCCTTTGCTTTTCGCTCCTCTTCTGCAGCTTTCTCTGCCAGCTGCTGTAATCCTTGACACTTCCCAATTGACTACATGCACAAGCAAGGCAAGAATGTGAGAATAGAAATGCTAGTGGCAATAGGAGAATAGAAATGCTAGTGGCAATAGGAGAAAGTAGGTAAGTAGGGGCCGTGCGCTGGGCCGCTTCCGCTTCTTTCTGCTTCCTCGGCAAACTCCATCACCAAAACATGCACATGGAGGTGGGAGATCTCAGGAAGCCTGAAGATCTCTGGGCTTCTGGGTGCATCCTTTCGGGGAACTTAGGGCTTGTGGTCTCATCTGCAGCCGAGTTGCTGCAGCGTCACATATGCTTCAGCCTGGCTGAAGGCTCACAACACGTCCGACTTCGGAGAACCTATCCACGCTTGAACAGGGCCTCCGTGAGCCAAAGTGGCTTCCCAGGCGGTGGAATAGGCTGATCGCTGAGGCATTTCCTCGGAGGTCGCACTTGGGCTCGGCTCGAGGCACTGAGCATCCTTCTTCGTTGCTAGCATGAAACCGCAAGCCGCAAGCCTATTCCCGATAGTGCTGCGAAGCGTCGTTTCTGCGACTGCTTCAGCAGTGCTACCCACCTCCTGCTCAAGAGGACATATTGACACTAGTCCAAGCTCGGAACCACCCTCACTCAAGCGCCCTTGACTCTGTTTACAAAACCGACGAGAACAAGACTGAAAAACGGAGACAAGAAAGCGAGAGAAAGAGAGGAGCAAGATATAGAACGAGTGGGATGATATGCCACGAAACCACCCCAAATACCCGCCTGAACTGCGCAGCACTTTTGTTGCACAGCGCCCATGCCCCTTAGCATGTGTTCACGAATGCGCAGGCTGACACTCGATCCCGAACCTTTGCATCCCAGGCTAAGTTGTGCGCGCACTGGAAAAGCTCTCCGATGCGGCTTACAGCACGCCCTACGCGACTTTCGTGAAAACGCAGGCGGTCGTGTGATATTTAAAGGTGATGACATAGATCTGCCTACTTCCACGCTGGGAACGCTCACGTTCGAAGAGCCGCCACCACGTCAAAACAAGAGCGGCAAAGCACTGCCTCTATTTTGCGCCAGTGAGCACATCAAGTTATCACCGACTTGCACAAATGGCGACAGAAGACTCCGGCTGCTTCTTAGGGGGAGACTTCGTGAAACTGTGTAGCAGCAAAGGTGCCCGACGGCCATCGCACTTAGGCCTTCAACATCGTTGGAGAAGTGCGAGATCTTGGCACATGAGGCCAAATCAAACTTTGGTTGGTCTCCGCAAGCTCAACGCACCTTCTACGAGCCTGCTGGGAACTGGTGTATTGAACAGATCTAGTATTCTTATTTCATCACGCCTGCAACCTTGGAAACAGCCAGTGGAGCGCAGTCAGTAGCAGTGATGAGCTACAAGATTTATGCAATTTGGGACCCATTGCCCTTTGGCTTTCGCACCATCCTCGACATGACAACCCATGTACACACAGCTGCCTGAACAGGAAGACTTTCGGCGCTCAACAGAAAAATTAGGTTTAGACATGCGGATGGTGCGTATTGAATTAACAGCATGAACTACGCCCTTGTCGGCGCTACAGAGTGCGCAGGCCGTGCAGACGCCCCCTGCCCACATGGCAGTCCAAAAGCAAAACAGCAGCATGTGCTAATATGTGAAATGTGGTCTGGGCGAGGTGCCTGCCGAATACGAGTGAATACGGCAACTTCCAGGGTGCGCTGACGTGCAGGGACACCCTTGTGAGCCCCAGCATTTCATGGCATCAATCGAAACAGACTGCGTGAAGTCCTGGTTTCGCTCAAACCAGGGTGAGATACTGAGCTTGACCAGATTCACCACCACCTCAGGTGGCCCTTTATCTATACTAAATCAATGCGCTTGACATGCAACCAAAACCTGTAACGGTGCTGCGTCTTGGAATTGTCAAGCTGAAAAAGAGCTGAAAAAGAACCGAGTCGTCCGGCACTGCACAAGACTAGGAGAATCTGCTTGACAGGGACTTTGAACGAGAAGCCCCTAAAGTAGGCCCTGTCTGCCTGCAAGCCGACTCGGCAGAGGACAGCCCGCCATATGTGTGCAGCCTCACCATAACTCAAGCCTCTTGTCCTGTGGCGGAAAATGCGCCCTGTACACGAACGCGAACCTTCGGACAAGCGCAGTGCTCATGTCATGAAGCATCTCAACACCATGTTTCGCACTCGTGCGATGATATGGCGCACATGCAAGATCATGCGAGGGCCTACCGCACACCCCCAAGGAATGAACAGACTGTGAGTTACTCCGGGCCTTGATTCCTCCACCCGGAACCTGGCACGGAAGAGAGCGTCGCTACACCCCCAACCCAACTTATCCACGAGATTCCACAAGGATACGGTTTATTGCATTTGGTATTGTTTCACTGCTCGTACTCATTGTTCGTGCCACAGCTCGGAACGACGTGAAAGGACGGGCGGTCACGAAACGAGGAGACTTCAAGCGGAAGCCGCAGGGTCCAGAGGCCCAGGGCTTCAAAGGCGAGTTTGGGTCATCCTGTACCTTTGTTCACGGTTCCCGAACGCAATCAGATGATATCAGACGCATCGTGGGCAACAGCTATGTGAAGCGCCTAAATGCGCCTACACTGCCCCCATGGAGAAGTCTGCCGCATTCCAAAGCGGGGACATGGGGTTTGGTCAAAGAGATGGAGTGGCCTGGTTGCCGGAGCTGTCTTCCAGCGGTATCTCATCTTCGAAGCCTCACGGGAGTCTGGGCCCGAAAGGCCTTAGCCTTGTGCATTGCCGCACCTGATGGGACCATGCGATCGAAGTCGAGCGTGGCCCTCGCGAAAAAGGCGGTGTCATCCAGATCCTGTGAACACCCTGTGCTGGCGGCTGCAGATGCATATGATGCCACCCAACTTGAACAAGATCCGGTGTCCGCATCTTGAACACGGAAGGTCAGGAAGTCGCCACGACCGATCTGGAGCTTGGAAGCCTGGTTCCAGACCTGAGATGAGGGAACCATGCAGCCGCCTCGTCTCCAGCCATCAATGCTCGGCTGCGAATTTTCTGCATGCCGTCCAGCAACTGCTTTCTCCCTGGAGCTCGAACTCTTGGTGCGGAATTTGACAGGGTTGTTGCCTTGGCCAGCAGATGCATACTTGAAGGAAAGAGCTGTTGATAAAACACGTTTTACCAGAATGTTGCGACCGCCAAAATGCCGCCCGGCTGCACCTAGCGAGTCCCACAACCTCGCGTGCAATGCAGGGCTCACTTCCGGTTGCATGTTCTGTTACAGTAACTTGCGATTGGATTGCTATAGGTTTCCTTGCAGGTGAAACGGTGTTTTCGGGCACAGTGGGCACAACCTGCATGCCGAGTAGCAAAGGGTCTGTCGCCAGTCTCCGGCAGTTTCACCGCGGACACGATTTTTACCTGTCATGCCGACAGTCATGGGGCCTGGAGCAACATCGCTCCGCCAGCTGTTCAGGTTACAAAGCCTCCAAAAGGTACCGCACCTGAGACCTCGGTTTTCAGTTGCTGGCCGATTTCCTCACACTGCAGTAAGCGAGAGCCCGGCGGATCCTGAGCTTTGCTGAGAACCTCGCCAAGGCAGCCACTGCAGCTGCACCCCAAAAACTTAAGACCGAAAACTCACTGCCTCGTCGACGTCCTTCACCTCATTCACCTCTACCGCCGGTGACTGCGCTCTGCTTGTGACCGCCTTAGCAGATAACTTCAGAAGCCGTCTCTCCCCAATAAAGCCGCCGAACCAGAAGCAGAAGACCTTGCGTCGAAAAGAGCGCGCTGCTTTTGTCCACGTTGAAAATGAGAAGTTTTTGGGACAGAACCAGAACCCCCGAGTGCTCGCGGGACTGATTCGGACACAGGAACTCAAAGCAGGACCTGAAGGTCGAACGAGATGAACTCGCGCTTCTTCGGCGGCACCCCTTCAGGCTTCTCGAAATTCGAAAAACCACTTCTTTGCAGTGGAAGCTGCTCGGGATAATGCGACCAAAAGAAAGCTGAGGGTTTGGCCACCAGTCGAAACGACTTTCCAACCCACCGCTGACGGCTAGCAGCTAGCAACCCAATGCCATTCTGCCGCTTGGTCGCGGACTTTTTTCAGCGTGGAGGCACATAACGTATTTAGTAGGAACACCCCTGCAATTCCGCTCGACGGACTTCGCAACCTTGACCATGTCTGCACCCCTGCGGAACAAAACTCTCTTTCTGCAACTCAACCGTCGCATCCACAATGTATTTTTTTTCGGATGACAATTTCTAAGGCTTGACCGGTTTTCCAAGGGCCCTCGCAGGTCCGCCAAATTCAGTCGTAAGCTGCTTGGTTGTTGGCATGTGTTGACGTAGACAAAGACAGAGAGAGGGAGAAAGGGAGAGGCGTGCCTCGTGAGTGCTTGGTAAGGGCCTCGTAACTGCCTCGTGTCTCGTAAGTGGCTCGTGCCCCTTGCTGACAGGACGAAGAGGAGGCGGAGGAGGGGGGAGGAGGAGCAGGGATGAGGTGAAGCACGAAGAGGGGGACGAGGAGGAGGATGAAAGAGGAGGCCCGACCCTTCCTTACCGGTTGCTTGCCAGCTGCTTAATTACGAAACTGGCTCTTTCCTCGTAGTCCTATCGCACTCATTAGACACTCCTGAACACGACCTAAGTCGCTGATAAGACAATGGCCCGAAAGTTGCTGGCATGTTTCCTCACTTGATTCTTGCCGCCCACATTCGCAAACCGAAGGCTTCCGCCGTTCCGCCGTCATTCTTGCCGCTTCGCGACAGTGCAAACTCCCAGGCTCGCGATTGCCCCAACTAACGAGCTGCCAGAGGCCACGCCGGTCCCGGGCCACGTTCACGCATCGTGCTATTTCGGGTGCGGAATGCACAAGGTTCCTCCGGAGGAGCGCATGGAAACGAGGACATTTCCTTGGTTAGGTAGGCTCTAACAAAATTCACAGCAAAGAAGAGGCTTAGGTGGCGCGTGTTTGCCGCTGGACAGCCTGTCACGACCTTCCATAACGCTCCTCCTCGACTTCGCACTTCGCATCGCCAGCGGAGGCTCGGTCTGCGTTTCAGATCTGCCGGGTCTTCGCCTGCCTTGCTTCGGCTGCCTGAGCTCTGGACGCCAAGAGGTAGAACTGGCGATCCCGACGCAGCAGAGTGTACCTCAGCGAGCGAAGGAGGCTCAGCTCGGACAAATCATCTCCTTTTCTTGCCAAATGTGTGCCCTTTCCATTCCTTTCTGTCGCCCAGGCCTTCGTCACCTCGCTCTGCTTGGGTGCCTGCAGTCGACGGCAAGCACTCCAGCTATGACTTGTCTGCTCCGTGGTGCCTGGTCCATGCGCAGTGCTGTGCAACCCAAGTAGGCAGCAATGCCGTGCGCAGTTTGACGAAAGCTGGAAAGTCAGCTGCAGAGTAATTCTCTCGTCTGTGCTCGGCAGCCTTCGCTATCTCCGCGTCCCTTCTGTCGCCCTGGACAGATTCGTGAGCATGACATAGGCCTAATACAAATTTCTGAGAATGTCAAGCTTCGATGAAGCGCCTCGCCTCTTGCTTCGAAGAGTGCGGATTTTCCTGTCCACCGAATCCACCGACGACCGTTGCAGGATTGATGCAGTGAAGCTTTTTTTGATCTGCTGGGAGGTACAAACTTCAACCCATGCCCAGGTGCAAGCTCAACAGCTGACTGTCTTGGAAAGTCTTTGTGAGCTCACCCTCGCCGCCTGGGGCTTCTCATGGCTTGCCTTGTTCGTCCTGAGTTGATCCCCAAAACTTGAGCACAGGTCATTGCACCAAAGCTGGGTCTTTCTCAGGTACGAGAACGGC